GTGGTTGTCACGGATGCGTCAAGCTATGGTCTAGGGGGGTTAATAGCTCACGTGGTGGATGAAATTGAGAAACCAATAAGTTTCACATCTTTTTCACTAAATCAGGCACAAAAGAAATATCCTATTTTGCATTTGGAGGCGTTAGCGCTAGTATGTACCATCAAAAAGTTTCATAAGTATCTTTATGGGCAACCTTTTACGGTTTACACAGATCATAAGCCATTGGTTGGAATTTTTGGCAAGGCGGGTAAAAACTCGATTTATGTTACCAGACTCCAGAGGTTTATTTTGGACTTAGCAATATATGATTTCAACATCATTTATAGACCTTCAAATAAGCTGGGAAATGCAGACTTTTGTTCAAGATTCCCCTTACAGCAGAATGTTCCTGAAGATTTGGATGCAGCTGCGATTAAAAGCATAAATTTTGGGAAGGATATACCCATGGATTCGAAAATGATAGCAGAAAGTACTAAGGATGACGAATTTTTGCAGAAAATTAAATGGTTTATGCTCAATGGTTGGCCTGATAGAGTGGACAAGCGTTTTGCGGATGTTTACGCAAATCAGCAGGACCTGGAATTAGTGGATGGATGCCTACTTTATGCAGATAGGGTGATTATACCGAAAGTGCATCAAAGGCAAATACTGGTACTTTTGCATAACAACCATGCTGGTATAGTGAAAATGAAACAGTTAGCGAGACGCATGGTCTATTGGTTCGGCATCAATAGCGACATTGAAAGATATGTGACAGGCTGTGATGCCTGCAATGGCATGGCTGCTTACAAGGAAACGAAGGATAAGTCTAAATGGACACCGACAACAAGGCCTTTCAGTAGAATCCATGTGGATTTCTTCTTTTTTGAGCATCGTACTTATCTGTTGATAGTTGACAGTTTTTCTAAGTGGATTGAAGTGGAGTGGATGAAGCAAGGAACAGATTGTAATAGGGTATTAAAAAAACTAGTGGCGTTTTTTGCGCGTTTCGGTTTACCTGATGTTTTAGTGTCGGACAACGGTCCTCCTTTCAATTCGCATGGTTTTATAAGTTTTCTTGAGAGGCAAGGTGTCAGGGTAATGAAAAGTCCCCCTTACCACCCTTCGAGCAATGGACAAGCTGAGAGATTAGTGAGAACAGTAAAGGAAGTACTTAAGACATTCCTATTGGAACCAAATATTGCACTATTAGATATGGAGGATCAGATAAACCTTTTTTTGTTTAACTTCAGAAATTACAACCTGACTAGCGACGGGCATTTTCCGTCTGAAAGAATATTTTCATATACGCCAAAGACTCTTTTGGACTTGGTAAACCCAAAAAAACATTACAAGAAGCAACTAGCTTTACCACAGCCTGCGGATGAAATCATCCAACAAGAGTTGGTCGGGACAATCCCGAGGCATTCACAGGATGCTATTGATAAACTGAAGGCTGGAGATGAAGTGTGGTATAAGAACCACAATCCTTCCCTTCATTCAAGATGGTTAAAAGCAATCTTTATTAAAAAGTACTCTCACAATGTATTCCAGGTACAAATTGGAAGCGTAGGCGCGATGGCGCATCGTTCACAAATTAGGCCTTACCGAGAGGTCGTCTGGGAGTACCCGAATATTATTGTCACTGTGAAAACGCCTAGGACAGTTACGAACTGCGAGCCGGACAGTACCACGAGGGTGGATGTTAGTGACAGTGGAGCAGACGACATCGGTAGTGAGGAGTTGAAGGCCCCGAGTGGGGAAAAAAAAAGGAAACATCAGGAAGTGACAGTGACAGAGGAACCCAGAAGGTCGAAGAGAAATAAGAAGGAGAAGAAACTTGAAGACTTCTGTTATGATTATTAATATGAGTATTTTGAATTGATTGTGGTTGACGAAGGTCAAATTTTGAATTGATAGCCTGTTTAAAAGGGGAAGAATTGTGGCATACCGGCGCATTTATCACAGCGTCAAGCTGTCAAGTGACGCTGCGATGTTTTGTTTCCGCCCAACTGGCAGCACTGCTGGCAGCATAAAAAGATAAACAAAATATACGGAAGAGTTCAGTTGACTCGTGAGCTTAAAGCAAACTAGTCTATTTTCATTATACGGTCCGGTAGTTTCTCCTCTATTCCCAGTGAAATTAATACTTGCCATACGAACATAAAAGTAATATCAAGATCTACACAGGCGACTTCAATGCGAAGATCGGCTCCGACAACTCGTACTATGACCGCATTATGGGACGGCATGGTCTCGGAGATAAGAGCGAGAACGGCGAGCTGCTTGCAGAGTTTTGTGGCAACAACGACATGGTGATCGGGGGTTTGCTCTTCTCCCAAAGTCACATGGGTCTCCCGTGATGGATATACAGAGAACCAAATCGACCACATCTGCAACAACCGAAAATGGAGACGGAGCCTTCTTGATGTTCGGAATAAACGCAGCACTGACATCGCGTCTGACCATCATCTCCTGGTCGGTGAGATCCGCCTACGCATTGCACAGGTTCAACGGCGGGAGGAAAGACTCGGGCGGCGATTCAACACACGCCGACTGGAAGACCCAGCAGTGAAGAGATCGTTCGTCGAAGAACTCGAGGCTCGCGCAGCTAATATTCCGGAAGGTGGCAGCGTAGAAGAACAGTGGACGAGCATCAAGAATGCCTTTATTGAATCAAGCGAGAACAACCTGGGTGAGCTGCGCACTCAGAGGAAGGAGTGGATCACTGATGAAACCTGGAGGAAGATCGAGCGAGCAAGGACCCGAGGAGCCAAGAACGAGGCCCGTCAGCGGTATTCGGCTCTAGAGAGGGAAGTTGAGCGCTCCTGTATACGGGACAAGCGAGCGTGGGTGGATTGGCTGATGAAGGAAATAAAGCCGCAGCAACTATCGATATCCGCCTCCTCTATGATGTTCCACGACGCCTGAGCGGGGCGAGGATGAACCCAAGGATGCCTGTGAAAGACGCGACTGCACAGTTGCTCATCGACCTCACTGACCGGTTGAAACGTTGGTTTGAGCACTTTGAACAACTTCTCGAAGTTTCAACGGTCAAACAACCATCAACATCTCGGCATGATCCGCCAAGGGTGAGGCGCGTTACTCGCGTCAACACTGAAGCTCCATCATTGCAGGAGATAGAAGCAGCCATCCGAAGTATGAAGTCCAACAAAGCCCCGGGGGTCGATCGCATATCAGCAGAGATGCTCAAAGCTGACCCCATGCTAGCCTCACAAATGTTGCATCAACTATTCGTCAATATCTGGGATACCGCGACTTTTCCGGCCGACTGGATGCAGGGCGTCTTGGTAAAAGTCCCCAAGATCCCCCATCCAACTGTATGCGACAACTGGCGAGGCATCATGTTACTGTGTATTGTTCTCGAAGTTCTGTGTAAAGTTATCCTCAATCGGATACAGGAGAAGATCGACGCGGCTAGAGATGAACTAGCCTAAGGCTAAAAATCTCTTTTATAAAGAATTAAAAAAAAAAAAAAAAGATCGACGCGGCTCTCAGACGACAGCAGGCAGGATTCCGTGCTGGAAGATCCTGTGTGGACTATATTGTCACGCTCCGCATCATCTTGGAGCTGATCAATGAGTTCCAAGAGTCCCTGTACTTGGTATTCATTGACTACGAAACAGCTTTCGACCGACTAAACCGCGAAAACTTGTGGGGCGCTCGCAAGGGAGTCCCTGATAAGATCGTCAACCTCATCGAAGCGCAGTACGAGGTTTTCTCATGCAGAGTGTTGCACAACGGAGCTTTGTCTAACCCGATTCGGGTAATCGCGGGTGTGAGGCAAGGATGTATATTATCACCGCTACTGTTCCTCATCGTAATCGACGAGATCATGGTTGAAGCCGTTGACCGTGTACCGAACCGTGGGTTGCTGTGGCAGCCTATTACCATGGAGCATCTCAACGATTTCGATTTGGCTGATGATGTTGCGTTATTAGCACAACGGTGCTCTGACATGCAGAGTAAGCTCGTCGATCTTGTGGAACGCTCCTCTGAAGCAGGTCTAACCATCAACGTCAACAAGACCAAATCGTTGGATGTCAACACGGAAAACCGTTCCAATTTCACGGTAGCTGGGCAGGCAGTGGAGAAAGTCGAAAGCTTCCAATATCTTGGCAGCCAGATAGCGTCGGACGGCGGCACCAAGAGCGACATAGGTGCACGGATTAAGAAGGCGAGGGCGAAACGTATGGAGAGCGAATCAGATCAGCCGACGCACCAAAATCCGAATTTTTAACTCGAACGTGAAGTCTGTGCTGTTATACGCCAGTGAAACAAGGTGTGTATCAGCATAGAACACTCAGAAGGTGCAGTTTGGGTCTCAAATTCCGAGCTTCATCGTTTGTGCCATCAGAAGCCGATAGAGACAGCAATTCGTGAACGGAAGTGGAGGTGGGTCGGCCACACACTACGACGGAGCGGAAACGAAATCTGCAAGCAAGCACTGGAGGACTGGAATCCAGCAGGACATCGCAGCAGAAGCAGACCCAGAGGCTCGTGGCGGCGAGTCTAAACAGTGAAATTAAGAACGTCGACCGAAATTTGACTTGGGCACAGGTCAAGGCCAAAGCTAGTAATCGCCCAGGATGGAAATCTTTCACAAAGGCCCTTTGCACCCCTAGAGGTGCGCAGGATCGTTAAGTATGTGAGTTCCTGCACTTTTTGCGATGTATGGTTAAACTGAACTTAAATTTGTGTTTCTCTCATTGGCCGTGTACATACAGTTTGAATATTTTGACAATAATGATAATGTGAATACAGAAATATTGTTAATATCGATGTATTTCCGTCAATATAGAATGTATTGACGATACGATTATTGTCAATAAAATCAATCGTGTAGGGTCCACTTATGTGGTCTGACATTTTTACGTACAGGTTCAGAGGCATATTATGATTAAATGGAAAAAATAACAGGTTGTTTAGATAGAAGTACTCTAAGATTATAGAAATAATCAACCACATCTCGACGCTATACATGACAACACCGTACTCACCTCGATCTTGGCAATCTTGTACGCGTTCTCCACGATCCGCTTCAGCTCTTCCGGTGATGCGGTTTCGATCGAGCCCAGCTCGTCGAACGGCAGCAAGCACATGATACACTTCCTCCGGACCGGTCCCAGCGATTTGCCCGCGCCATCGGTAGCGCTGGTGCTGCTGCTGCTGCTATCATCTTTCGCTGGTCGTTCCGTTGGTTGGGATGTAGTCCTAAAAACAGTCAGGAAAATCCACCCCCGCAAAAATAAACCGCATATTAGAATCACGTCGTCGATTCCATTCTTCTTTGTGTTCGCATACACTCTTGCCGAACCCCGCTTTCCAGTAGGAGTGAGCGAAACGGCGCGACCTACTGCTCGACAACAAGTGGAAGCGAAACAATACGCATTACTGGCGCGCACCGTCTTCTGTATACAACACACACACAGAACATATAGGCCCATTCGGGCGCGGAGAAGGTGGAGAGAAGGAAAGGAAAGAACCAAACCGAATGAGCAGCCCAAAGCGAGTGTGTGGAGAGAAAATTGATTTCGACATCTTTGTTCTCCCGACCCAGAAGAGGGGGTCGCTGGAAAATTTTGCCTTTCGCCCGAATTTTCCGACCTACCTGGACTGGTGCTGCTCCACATCCATCACCGGCAGGCTGGAGCGCGCCACGGCAACAATTCTACAATGAGTTTGACTAGTTCAGGACGCTGGGTGGTTGGTAAATAAACCACGAAGTCACACACACGGCACTTGCCCAGCTCAGCTCTGCTTGTATACTTCCACAGTGACACAGTCGCTTTTTTTGCACATAGGAAAAGAGTGTTTAAAAAAAACTTTCGCTTTTTTTCTTATTAGAAAAAAATGCGACGTTGTACGGTTTCGATGACAGATACTGCTCGGAAAAGTGACAAATTTGTATGGTTCTGCGCAGATCGAACGGTGGGTTCACGAGAAAAGATACACATAGCCAAATTCGTAGTAAAGAGAAACATTTTATTTCGCTAAGTGCCGACCTTCGGCTGCGATCTCTGCATCTGTTGCGCCTTCCATTCGGCGGGATGTTTCTTCTTTCGGTGCGAGCACAGGTTAGCTGAAGAATTGAAAGCCTTTCCGCAGTAATCGCATGAATACAGCAATTGCCCGGTGTGAATAGCCATGTGTTCCTTTAAAGCCAACGCTCGCTTGAAAGCCTTCTCGCAAACCGTACACTGATGTGTCCGTTCTAGCGTATGCTGATCTCGGACATGCTTCTTGAGAGCGTGATAGTTTGGCGACTGCTTGCCGCAAAATTCGCACTTGATCACTATCGATTCCTCCTGATGCCGAATCAGGTGCTTCCGCAACGTATCTTCGTTTTTCATCCACTTATCGCAGGTCGAACACTGTACCCTGGTCGTGTTGAAGTGCTCTGCACGGTGCACCTGAAAGGCACTCTTACTCTTCAGCATCTTGGAACAGATATCGCACATCATTTCGTTTACCCGGTCGTGTATACTTCGGATGTGAAACTGCAGTTTCCCATTGGTGGCGAACCGCTTCTGGCACTTGGAACACTGAAACTCTTTCCGTTCCTTGTGCTGTATCATGTGCGCGTTCAGCTGGTACTGTTTGGCGAATTTTTTCGAGCATGATTCACACTGAAAAGGCTTGACCTCATCGGATAGATGAACTGCCAACTGGTGCCGGGTTAGACTACGCTTGGAACCGAGATTTTTCTGACATTGTTCGCATCGAAAACTGGCCGGATTCATGTGAACTCGAATGTGCTCGCGAAGTCCTTTCAGCTCCTCGAACCGGCAGTTGCAACAAAAGGCGTAACCTTTTTCACCGTGAACTAGCTGGTAGTGGTCCTTGAGCATGGTGAAACTGTCGAATTGTTCCATGCAGGTGTGACACTTCATTTGGCAGTATAGGAGGATGTCCTCGTCGGTAACCGGCAGTAAGCGTTGGCTTGCGTTCGTTGGTTCCTTGGCTTCATCATCTTCCAAATCTTCCAAAACATCGTCCGGCTCTTGTCCGTTGTCGTGCTGAATTTCTTCAAGCTTGCAGCTTTCGTTATCTCCGTCGAAATCGTCTTCTAGAAGTACTTCCTCTTCAATCACGCTTTCGTGGGTTTCAGAGTTGGCATCATCGCTTCCATTCTCACTCGAAGCGAATTTAATTTCAGTTGGACCGTCGTCCAATTGAGAATCCGTAGCATAGAGTTTCTCAACTTGACTGTAGAATAGATGGAATTCCAGTAGCTTGTTCCGGCATGGGCAACAAATGTGGAAGGTTTGCAATTCTTCGGACTGAAAATGAAAAAAAAAATCTTGATAAGTAACGGTATTCTGAAATGTGATTGGTTGAATCTTACCGTGAACCAAAAGTGTTTCTCTACCATCGTCAGTATTGGAACGGACGGTTCTTCGAAGGAACTATTTTGCACAGGTACCGTGTCACGGTTGTCTGTTTCAGCACAGAAACTGCAACCATTTTCCATAGATGCCAATTTTGCCAGCTTGTTCTAGAACATACAATACTTCAAAATATGTACTGATTGAATTACAATTAAAAACATATGAGTATAGAGGAGCTAGTTGCTTGAATTTATTTTGTTTGTTTATGTTTTGATGGTTATGTGGGAAAATGACACATATTGCTTCATTTGTGTCAGTAAGGGTGCCAGTCAGAATGGAATGGTTTGGCATAGTGGGTTAGTTTAATTTGCAATAATTACAATTATTATTGTGCACCCCAGTTGCTTATGCAAGAAATGAGTTAGAAGGGGTGCATTAGTGTATATGTAATCGGTGAAAACTTGATGAGAGCATTCTATGTTGGTTCAAACATCCTGTTGTGGTTTTAGGTATTCAACCGTCAATAATTCTAGGTAGAGCTGGAATTAGGCGTAACAGCTTTTGTAAACAATGACTTCTCTAAATGATTTCTAGAAAGACAGTTCGCCCACGCAAATCAAGAAGACTTCTCCTACCCGGTGGGTATGTTGGTTTGCGTGAGCGTGCTTTAAATTAGAAATCATCGAAAGAAGTTATTGTTTACAAAATTTGTTACGCCCTTATTCCAGCACTATCTAGACGGAACACCTTGACAGCACCGAATCACGTTTACCGCGTACAACAACATTAAAGTTCCCCAGCACTTACTAAATTAAGCTTTAATACGTTTTTGTAAATTATAACCTAAATTATGGCTCCGCGAAACTGCTGCAATTGAGCTTTGAAAATTGAACGAATGTAAACTTTTTGATCGATTTTAATAAAATTTAAATTTATATTCGAACATTAGTGGTTCGTGTCATTATACTAGTCTACCATTCATCGTAAATTGCACAACAAAAACAAACCACAGCTTTACCAGTGTTACCAAGCTCAACTTATGTAAGTTCGGCACTGTTTAGCAAGAATCACGCATTAAGTAACTTCGTCGTAGTCAAAATTGTGTCGAAAATGTTGTTGAAATTCGCCAAAACCCTCACATCGCTACCACAAGCTCCCACATTTGCCAGAAGCACCATCCGATCTCTGTCAACCACGAAGCAATGCTTCGCTACGACGGACTCCACCGGTGGACAGGAACTACAGGTAACTCAACCATGTCCAAACTTCCAGATACAAGCAGTCCTAAACTCAATTACGTCCCGTTCCCCATAGCTCACCTACCTCACCGAAGATGATAAGCAAGGCATCGCCGTTCTGGGACTGAACCGTCCGAAGGCTCGAAACTCCTTCAGTCGATCGCTGGTGAAGAACCTGCTGGATTCGATCGAGGTGCTGGCCCACGACAAGAACGTTCGGGTGGTCATTTTGCGCAGTTTGGTGCCAGGAATCTTCTGCGCTGGAGCCGATCTGAAGGAACGGGCCACCATGTCCGTTCAGGATGTCGGTCGGTTCGTATCCAAGTTGCGACTGATGATGACCAACATCGAGCAGCTGCCAGCACCGGTTATTGCTGCCATTGACGGTCCCGCTCTAGGGGGAGGTTTAGAAATGGCATTGGCTTGCGATATGCGAGTTGTGACGAGCAATGTCATGCTGGGTTTGGTAGAGACCAAGCTGGGAATCATCCCCGGAGCTGGCGGAACTCAGCGTCTTCCGCGGATCCTGAATCCGGCGATTGCTAAGGAGCTGATCTTCACCGCCAGGCAGATTACGGGAGAGGAGGCAAAGAATTTGGGTATAGTTAACCACGCGGTGAAGTCCAACGAAGATGGAGATGCTGCCTTCCAGAAGGCCTTGCAGCTGGCTATGGAGATTGTTCCGAATGGGCCGATCGGAGTTCGGATGGCTAAGAAGGCCATTGATAAGGGCCTTCAGGTTGATCTGACAACGGGTTGTGCCATTGAGGAAGCATGCTACGCACAGGTTATTCCAACTAAGGACCGCCTGGAAGGGTTGAAGGCATTCATGGAGAAGCGGAAGCCAAAATTCATCGGGGAGTAATAGGAGATTATTATTTTCAGTTACATTGAAGAAACGGCTATGTGATACGAAAGTGCATTTATTTTTTTTATGAAACGCAGGTAGGCTGAAAGCTCAGGGAAACAATCTTTCAATGTTTTTAAAACGGAGGCCTGTATTTACAATAAATAATGATGGAATCATACGTTTGGCACTGCGGTAGCATTAGATTTTAAGTAATTCTTTCAATTGACGTTGGGTATCCTCGGGCGAGGACACTTTGTGTCCAATCGTTCTAGGGTCGCTGTAGATTTCGTAGTCGTTGCCACCTGGATCAGTCTTATCTCCAAAAAAGTGGATTTCCTTGAAGTTGGTGTCCTTGGTTGCATGTCTTAAGCAGTATGTCTTATCCCACCCGTTGGGATACACGTCGAAGCTGATCTGTCCTCCGATGCTGTAAGTCAAATCCACTCCACTGAACTCTTTCTTCAGCACATCGATCATCTGCTGTCTAATTTGATTTTTATTGTCATACTCGAAGAAGTCCTTTCTCTCCTGTGTCGAACAGTTCCTTCCAATAGGACTAACGTTTATCATTCCACTTCTGAACTCGATGAAAGTCCCTCTCTTAATTGGCAGCTCCAACTCCGACAGATACTTCAAAACAAAGTTTATAAAACTTTTCAACACATCTTCCCCTAAATGTTGCGCTATCGAAACTCGTCCGACCTCCACTCCTTTTGCGTACTGTACCAGTCCATTTTCCGGATAGACGAAGTCAAAATTTCCCATTATCTCCCGCCCATTCAGCTGTTCGTACATCTTATCCAGATCGGACCCCCCGACAAGTCCGATGGTGGCCTTTGGTTGAACTTCTTTGTACAAAAAATCCTTGAAGTCGTCGTCGATCGCCAGCCGAGGTTTCGTCAGGGTTCCATCGACGTCAAACAGCAGTAGCATTTCGTCCCGCTTAAGCTCCATTTTTCTGCGACACGTACTCGTCGTATACACTGCACAACCAGAAATGATGATACTGTTAAGCACGGATAAGTTGCGATTTTGGTTTCCGCTTAACAATCTGATACGGTTGCATATGTGTAGATGCATTAATACGCCGGGTAAACAAGTAAGCCCAGCTTAGGTCTTATCTCGCTCCCTCCCTCCTACATCAGCAGCGGTTGCTACCAAGCTTGTGTCAAACAGACGTGCATTCGTGGGCGTCGGTTACGTGTTCAGTTCTGACAGTTTGGTTTGTCGATGTTGGAAGAAAAAGCTTCAACGCTTTAACGTTGATCGAGGCAGAGTCGATGTTAATAAAGAGTCCCGCAAAGAGAAAAAATAACGTTGCTAACAAGCAGCATCGAGATTTATTAAAATTTTGCTAAAAATCACTCTAAAGTTTGATTTATTGATTTATAGTCGGAGAAATCCATTTTATCGGATTCATCCGATATAATCGTGCTTAAATCTGTAAAAACATCTAATATCGGTTTTTATCGGTCACATCTCTATAAGTATCATGACAGGTAACGATGACAGCTCTTTGTTTATAAGAAAGGAACGTCGTGAAATCTCAACCAACAATTCAAAAAGGTGGATTAGTTTTTGAAATCAAATCTTGCAATGCTCTTTTCTCAGAAGTCGAAGTTCACCTTGCCAAATCAACAACACCGTTGGGTAGGGAAAATTCTCTCCTATCCGATGGTGGAATTGGTTTGCGTAGGCGTGCTTCAGTTTGCATGAGGTCATTACATCCTTCACTATTGTTGGTTGATAAATCTGTAAAAAAAAATGCCTGATGATGGCTGAGATACTCTATCATTTCAAGTGTTCTAGAGCGGAGTTTCGGAAACAGTTGTGATATCACTCATGAAATTGGAACTCCCAAACAGGGAGCTGCATCAAATGTGAAGCTCCAGTTTCGTTGTTGTATATTTTGTGGCAGCTGTGCTTTTGAGGGGATAATATAGCGCATTACACAAATTGTAGGAAGTGCGGAAATGCATATGTCACGACTGGGAATTCTCGGATATCTACAAGGTCATTACTGATTTTCATCACTACCTCTTCCCCAATCTCAGGCATCCGGTGAAGATCAACATCGATGGGACCTATCGTTTGGTCTTGGGTTTGGTCCGAGGTCACGATTGACCATCAATTCTGTTGCCAAATCTCCGGGGAAATATCGTTGCTTTCAGAGTTTGAACATGCAACAATCACAAAAGCAGGTGCTCAAGAAAGTGACAGTTCACATCACAAAACACACTAAAAACAACATCAGCATAATGCTCGATAATTCGAAGCTTCTGGTTGATAATATCATCAATAGTACATGAAACAATTTCAACAAAATGGTTGCTGTAATTTATCAATGACATCAGTCATGATCTCGGAAAAAAATCACTAAACGAAGCGAAAATATGTGTTTTATTAAAATTCCATCGACTCTGGAAACAATACTGTTTATTTACTTTGCTCGTTTGGTACGCCATTTGACAGTTGGTACGCCATTTGATTGGTACTTCGGGCTTCACTCTTTATTGGACTCCTTTTTTTTATCTACACAGAAAAAAAAGTTGTTGAATATTACATCCAAACTGCTGCAACCAGGTCAATCCATCGGTTGTGTAATATAACGTTGTACGATGTACATCGATTTTGCGAACAAAATTACATCCATTGATGTAATATTGTATCTGCTTTTTGCTATTACATCATTATTTCATACATCAGCTTGAATTACATTGATCGAAATTACATTTTTTTTTTGCTGTGTAGTTCGTTTATTTGTAAGACTCAATCGCGTTAGCTTTACAGAGCCGATAATACATTGTTCTTTGTTTGTAACAAAGTTCACTTAATTCTATGTCTAGTAGGATTTGTCCATTCCGTTGGCATTTGGCACAAATATGAAGGAATCGTATGAAACATTGAGCAAAATATTGAAAGAAATCAAATTTGATCAACATAAATGGAAGATTTGCTGTAACCTGAAAGTTGTAAACTTATTGCAAAGGGCGGTTATCCTAAATTCGTTTGCTTTCTTTGTAATTGGGATTCGCGAAGCAAAATCGAGCATTATCATTAGTTGGATAAAAAAAACTACCGAAAACGAAAAGATTTTTTTTTAATAAACCTTTAATACAGAATATTCACAAGTGCAAGCTCGTACGTATATGCTGATGATCTAAAAATCTATGTGGTGGTATCATAGAGGTAACTCTAAGACCCGAAGAAACGTGCTCAACTTTTTGGATCAGCTCTGATACTTTCTTCGGTCCCAAGCTAATCGATGCACCCCTCGAATCATAGGAAAATCCACGAACCCCTCATTTTATCTGTCAAACTTTCATAGCGAATCAAAACAAACATTGCGTAGTACTAGAATTTCAACTAGAATGGGGTACTAGACTGATGCAAAATTTGACTTTTTTGCTCCACAGTGCTTAAATGGTTTCAAATCGGGTCGTGATTAGCCTCCAAAAGTTACAACTCATTTGGTTAGAAACAGACTTCGCACAAACCATTTGAAGTTTACATGTAAATTACTATGGGAAATCTCAACTTTTTGTTCATTACCTTCTAGTCTTTTTCCATATTGAGCAGCAAAACAGCTCGATAGCTATTCTTATAGAAAATTTTCTCAGCTACAACTTTGCTAAAGATCGTTTCTATGTTAAACAAGACAGGAAATAGTTATTAATTATTTAAGAGATTGGTAAACTTATGACATGATCAAGCAGCTGCTCTGTAGGCAACACTGTATTTTGCAGTGTGACATAGTAGCCATAATTTTTGTGTCCTATTCAACGCCCCAGAAACACCAATGTTGCCTGCTGAGCAGTTGATTGAGCATGATCATAAGACATCAGTGCATTGAACCATTAATAACTTTCGATCCTTGCATTCAATCAAAAAGTGGTCTTGAGCAAAGTTGTAGCTGAGAAAATTTCCTACAAGTAAAATTGAAAGCTTTTGAAGCAGACCGATATGGTGAATTATTAGATAGACATGAACAAAAATCTTGGTTTTACCATAGTAATTCCCATACAAACTTCAAATGGTTTGTGCCATCTCAGTTTCTCACCAAATGGGTTCAAATTTTGAGAGGTTAGTCAGGATCCGATTTGGAATCGTTTAAGTATTGTGGAGCGAAAATTTCAAATTTTGCATCACTCTAATGGGGTACGTTCATCGATGTACTTGGGACCAATAGGCTAGTCAAGTAGTGAGCCAATTTAAAATCGTTAGTTTCCACCGGTTGTTGGTACGCTGCATCGAGGACTGCTTTCTCCTGCAAAGGTTGCTTAACATGTTCGTTCGAACAAGCTTGTCATCAGCGTCGCGAAATTTCATCTGATTACCTTCTATCGGTCTAAAGACCCGATAATTTATGAATACCACATCAATGATACTGTTCTTAGCAGAGTGGATCAAGTGACGGATCTTGGTGTAGTATTGGACTCGAAGCTTTCCTTTCATTCCCATTATGCGTCGATTATTTCCAAGGCCAATCGTCAACTAGGCTTCATCTCTAAGATTGCCAAGGATTTCACGGATCCACACTGTCTAAAAGCATTGTATTGTTCACTCGTAAGGCCGATCCTAGCAAATGCTTCAGTTGTATGGGCTCCAAGCGACGTAACATGGAACCTAAGAATTGAGCGTGTGCAAAAAAGATTCATACGGCTTGCGCTCAGGAACCTACCGTGGTGTGGTCCTTTGAACCTTCCAGCGTATCCCGATAGATGCCGTCTGCTTGACCTTGAAATGCTTGATCAAAGACGTAAGCTACAACAGGCTTTATTTATAGCTAATTTACTCAACGGTGACATCGATTGCTCTCATCTTCTGTCACTGCTTGATTTCCGCGCTTCAGATAGGATGTTACGTCAGCAATCCCTGATGCAACCGAGCTTTCATCGCACTCTCTATGGCTACAACCAGCCTATTTGTGCAATGGTTCGTATGTTTGTACCCGTCGAGTCCGCACCTTCATTTGTGAATAGAGTAAAAAGACTGAACATTATTTAAGATAACGAATAGTTTATTCACAGACAAACAGACGTAACTCTTTGAAAAAGTTTTTCTTGAAAACATAGTATCTCAAAACATAGGACCTCAGTAGCGACATCTTTCAGGCTTCTTGCGGAAAACAAGCTTGCTTGCTAACTCGCAAACAATATTGCATAAAAGTTCTATAGAATGTATAGAAACGTCAACGTGATCCGATGCCAGCGCTGCAGCGAGTAGTTCGCGGCAATGTTGCAAAGACTCATTTCAGCTAAAACAATGTTTTTCTAAATTATTAAATAATTAGATGCCATGATCAAATTTTGAATAGGTAGGATACAAGAAGAGGTTGCAAAGAATGTGTTTGACATATTAAACCTGTTTATTTCACTTCATGAGAGTCACAATCAGCGATTTTTCACAAACTCACTCACTCACTCACTCACTCACTCAGCGATCAGCAAATCGCTGATTGTGACTCATAGAAAGCAAAATTTACAGGTTTTATGTTTCCAACGCATACTTTGTAACCTCTTCTTGTTAGTTACAAGTAAAACATGCCATCATACCATCTTTTGGTTTTATTATTTCAAAAAAACATTATTTTAGCTGAAATGAGTCTTTGCAACCTTGGTTCGCGGAACTGATAATATTCAAATCAACCGTTAAATGCGTGAACGAAGATACACAATGAAAAGTTATGTCTGTTTGTCTGTGGTTTATTCATTAAGACAACTTTGTCAGATGAATTATTAAATAAATAAATAAATACATTATTGTTATGCAAGCAGTTCAGGAAGTAGATACTTTGATAATGATAGACATGATGTTTGTATAAGCATGGGCGTATCCAAAGGGGGACAAGGAGGGTCAAATTCCTTCCCTCTAGCTCTAATTCAGTATCAAAATAAATTTTAAGAATTTTAAAATTTAAGAATCCTCAAAAAATCAGCGTCAATATTATTAGAATATAAATGCATTTAAGTTTCGCTTGCTCAATATTTTCCCAAACTCGATGATTTTCAAAGTCCCATCAATGTTGCAAGCAATCAGGGCCCCACAAAGTCATTTTCAATCGAAAATCGTCAAG